CCTAAAGATACCAGGAGGTCATGAAGAAAGGAGGCCAAAACGCCACACGGTTACTTTTCTTTCCACTAAATGGTTTCACCCTATATGAAAATTGTATGGTGTATTTTATTATTGCTCAGACATGCGAGCATTTGACTTGGCTTTTTTTCTAACAAGCATGTGAAATGAAGACGGCAGATACAAGGAGAATGTTCACAATAAGGCAATGGAGACAAAGAAGTTAGATCATTTGTGTTACTCTGAAAAGTGGGTGAGGTTTCAGTTAAGATATTCCCAGCGCACTAACCAAACAACCAGAAGGAGTAGGTTCCATTCCTGGGCCACATTTCTTCTGATACAGGAGCTAAGTAAGATCATTGCCACCATCTTCTAGTACCTAACATTAAACCATTTGGGGAGGATGAGCTTAGCACAAATTCTAAACCATCTCTCCTAGGCCCAGAAAGCACTGGTACAACACAATTAATGTTACTACTCTGAAATAATTTTATATATTTCTATGCTCTCAATAAATAGCTCCTTACCTGAACCTCACAAGCACTCACCCCTCACCCTGCCCCAGGCCACCCCAGGATTTGGTAATCAAAGAGCAAAGGTCTGGCACAGCTGGGACAGGGCTCCAGTAGGAGTCCTGTCCCAGGCCATACAGACACTTCTCAGATTAGCCCTGCGAGGCTGAAACACTGGTCTGCATCAGTAGCAGAGAGAAAAAAAAAAACACTATATGCTCAGCAACATTTAAAAACCTTTGATTCCAAAAGATGTTATCACATTCCCAAACCAAAACTTGGGTAGATGAGATGGTAGTTGTTTAGAGAGGAGCCTGAGACAATGTACTTTCAGTTCATTTCTATAAGTTCTGGCTAAGATGTTCATCTTCCATAATGTGGGTGTCCGCTCAGTTCATGGACAGATCTCTGATACCTGGCAAGTCAGTAGGCAAAATGTAGGTGACTTAGAATATGAACATGTATATAAAGTAAAATACATGTAAAGGAATATATTTTTGTAAATGTACATATACACGGGCAATATGTACAAGTCTACACATGGATAGTTATAGAGAGATACTTATATGGTACATACACAGATATCTAGAAGCATAAAACTGAGCTGGTTATAAGCCACTAACTGCATTCATATGGTGGAAGTAGTTGCTGATTTGGCAGCCTGCAGGACACGAATGGGGGTGGGGGGGGAGAGATGGCCCATGGCAGGAAGGCAAATGTGCAGAAACAGCTGAGACAGAAAAGATACAGAAAGACTAAGACAAAGGGATGGACAGATGCATGCTGAGCTATCTTACTACATATTATGTGACATAAAGGCATGCATGATGGAGTCTTGGGGGTGATTTTATCATGAAAGGACAGTAAAAGGAGGCTAGAAAGGCTGATACATCAAGAAAAGAAGAGAGATATGGCAGCCAAGGAGACTCTTTTATATGCCAGTGCTATGATGTAGATCCAAAGCACCCTTAAAGAAAATATGATAAAGGCTTGGTCACTGGCCTGTGTCACTAGTAGGAGGTGGTAGAGCCTTGAGTAGGTGGAGCCTAGAGGGAGGAAGTTAGGTCATCAACAGCCTGCCTTGAAGTGGATATTGGTACCTCAGTCACTTCCTGTCTCTCTTGGCTTCCATGCCACCATGAGGTGAACAGTTCTCCTTCATGCACTGCCACAGCAATGTGCAATCTCTCCACAGGCCCAAAAGCAATGGGGCCAAGAATCAATAAACTAAAATCATTAAAACATGAGCCAAAAGTAACTTTCCTTCTTATATATTGATTTTCTCCAAGTAGTTTGTCATAGTAATAAGACCCTGACTTGCACAATTACCTACCTATCACAAAACTCAGCAACTCCTTGGATAGGTAGTTTTATTCCCATCTCAAAGTTGAGGAAATAAAGGCCTTGAGAAGGTAAGTAACTCTTCTGAAGCCAAAGAGCAAAAACAGATTCTCCCCCAGATTTGAACTGTCAAACCTGAAAATAGGTTATACGTAAAGAGGTGGGAGTTCATCAAAGGCAGAGCTGGGAGACTTTTGGAACACATTTTGTTATTCTTCCCTAAATCTGGATGCTCACTGTGATGATTAATCCCCAGCGTCAACTTGACTGGCTTTAGAATCACCTAGGAGACTGAGGTACACCTCTCAATATGTCCGTAATACATTTCAGAGAGGATTATCTGAGAGAAAATGTGATTGATTGGCATCATCCCATGGACCTGGAACTTGAAACAGGACATTCTTCTCTCTACATCTTGGTCAGCCAAGATTTAAGGAGTCGCAACTATATATTTCTGCCACCATGAACACCATCACACCTTCCCATCATGATAAACTATACCCCCAAATGATGAGACAAAATAAACCTTCATCCCTTAAGTTGTGTCTTCTTAGGTGTCTGGTCGCAGCAACAAAATAAAATTGCTGATTGTGCTAGATAGTTTCAGCTGTCAATTTGATATACTGGGTAGAGGGAACCTCAACTGAGGAACTTCCTTCACCGGACTGGCCTGTGGTCATTTCTGTGGCACACTGTCTTGATTGTTCAGGGAAGTGGGAGGGAGACAGTGCCATCCGTGGGTAGGTGGTCCTGTGTTGTATAAGAAAGCATGAGCTAGGGGAGCAAGCCAATAAGCTTCCATTGTCTGTGCTCCTTGAGTTCCTGCCTTGGCTTCCCTTAATGATGGACTGTGAGATGTAAGCCAAATAAACCTCTTCCTCCCCAAATTGATTTGGTTAGTGTTTTCCGTTTTCATCACAGTGAAGAAAAATTAAGACACTGACATGAAAAGTCAACCAAAAATGAAAATTATTTGTAGCTTGCGGCATTTATTTATTTATCCTAAAATGAGATGAAACCTACACAAAATGGAGCATAATAAAGATCAGAGAGATACCAGCTTAATTCCAAAGAGTCAGGCTTGGACACAGCATCTCCACCTGCCTCTAACTCTAGCCTAACTTCAGGTTGCATGACTTTGGAATAGGTGATATTTCACTTCTACCTATGGGGCCACTGTTTCCTGGACCAACCAGGACTAAGGAAGGTAGCTTAGCCTGGGAAAGGAGATCAGGGACTGGGAGAGACTAAGGACAGCTGAAGGGAGGCACCGCCCTGGGTGCTGCCTAATCCATCTGACATGGGGACACACTGTTCCAGAAACAGAATGACAATTAATAGAAAAAATCTGCTCTGGCTGCATTGCCAAACATGCTGCAGGGTCTCAGCTGCTGCTGTGCCTCCTTGGGAGAAGAGCAATAATGGCCCTTCTTCTCCTTGGTCCACATCCTGATGTTTTCCCATGTAGAAAGAGGAAAAACTAGGCAGTTCCTCCTATGGCAGGAAAAAGTTGCAGAAAAACAGCACTAGTGTTCAAAACCAAAGACCCAGGAATTACCTAAGCTAGAAGTCTTTGAGTCATTCAGCAGTCATCCCAACTAAACCTATGGAGCTCTGTTTGACACATGGTGAGTTCTGGCACATAAAATACCTCCAGTCAAGGTAGCTGAGAGGAGTCTGAAGTTAAGCCATCAATTCCCTCTTTGGAATTTTCCTGCACATGTATTTCTCTTGATCAGAATATTTCAGATTATCCACTAAAATGCCTAAAGGGGCATAGCAGTTGTCTGGCATGCATAAGGCCCCTAGGTTCAATTATGACTCCCAGAAAAAATGGAAGGGAGGGAGAGAAGAAGGAAGGAAGAGGAGAAAAGAGAGGAAAGGAGGAAGGGGAAAAGAGAGAGGGAGAGGGGAGAGAGGTAAAAGAAACCTTGGCTTGTCTCTGTCATAATTTTATTCAAATTCAACAAACGCAAAGAGCAGAGGCAAAAGCCTCAAAAAAATAAATAAACAGTCTATCGGGCCCATGGTTTCCACACTTCTAGTCCCCTCTGGCTTGCTACATATCAGTATTCTTAACTTCTAAAGGAGGCAGAGAATCTTGAGAATATAATTAAATCTAGCTCCATTGATGTGCAATAGTCAACCCTCCACCACACAGAATCACTCAAACATTTACTTGCATATAAATCCAGGAAATACTATCCCTGTGGATGTCATTCACGTACTCTTCTTTAACCCATGAGCCCTGAAGGCAGGACTCCCAGCACAAAAACTGGCCCCCACTATTAAAGCCCTAGAAGTCTGTCATTCTGGATCTCATAGTATCACTAGCAAACACCAGCCTGAATGTTGTTTAAGTAACCTTTCCTGCCAACATTTGCCATACATGACAACCTCAGCTGGAAGGACATCTTAAAAATCAAGTTTATTTTGGAACCAGTGGTACCCAGCTTCCCTTGAACCATTTGGCCACATCTATCTCTGAGATCAGGCAGGTGGATGCTAATTTACCATGTTAACCCCTTTCATGCCTATCCCCTCACTAGAGCCTTGGCAGCTCGCCACATCTCAGCACCCCTCCCCTACCATAACGGGGCTAAGTACTCTGTACATGGAAGCTGGCCAGCAGATTTAGAAACCATGTTGCTCTTGGCATCCATTCCAGGACTCTGTGTAGAGCTACGTGCTGAGATACTGCGGCATGGGCAGCTTTTCAATACCAGAGTTCACCACCCTGTATCTCACTGTGCTAATTCCTTCCCAACAATACTCCAAAGATAGGCACAGACAAGAGACAAAATGTCACTCAAATGAGGAGTTCCTTAGCCCAACAATACTGAAAAGAATTATCCAAGTCCTCTTTATTTGTCCTCAAATTCAACTTCCTTCCCAAACTATCCTCATCACACAAGTCCATCTGAGTAAGCAATGGTTTTCAGCATCACAGTTTCGTCCCCATAGATCCCAACACAGCCTTCAGTCTATAATTACCAAGAGTAGGGTGCAGAGAGGAGTCTCCACCAGGACCACAGAGGCCCTATGACCAGAGGCTTCTCAGAGTGCACAGGAAGATGAAAAGAGAATCTTTTGATCAAAAGGAGCCATGTTTCCACCATGGAACTCTTGAGACTAAAGGTGCCACCTTACCCTTCATCCCAAATTTGGACCGTCGGCCATACTTGTTGATCATGATAAAGAGAACCACCAGCAGGACACAGGCAAAGGCAGCAAGTCCAACTGCTATGGATACCTGTTAGAAGTCAAACAATGACAGTCAGGAACACTCACAGAAAACCCAGTGCCTCAAAAGTATTATATGTGCCCAGATGAAAACAACACTGCTTCAGCAGAATGGGAGTCCCCCAGACCTCCGCTACTCAGGCATGTCCAGCCTGAGGCCCATGGGCCACACACACCCCAGAATAGCTATGAATGCAATCCAATACATTTGTAGATAACAGTGTCATGTCACAATGTCAAAAGGTTGGATACCCCTGGAGTAAAGTCTTTAGAGGAAGTAATTTATGAGCCCCTAAAAGAGCTTTAAATTTTAATTAGAATATGAATTACTCAATTTGATTAGGGGAAGTTCCCTGATTTGATATTCTAAGCCCCTCTTACCTGGAGGCCATTCAAAAGCTACAATGGCAAGCTTAGAGACATTTTTGTCCAGTGTTTTAATTAGTAAGTAAATTCTAGATCCTCCTGTTGAAAGTTTTTACGTAATATTTCTACTCAGGAAGATTTGGGAGCTCTGAAACCAGGAGTCTCCTTTCTACTTCTTCCTAGGGAAATCTCAGACTCAGGTAGGGCTTGAAGAACCCATCCAAAAAGCTCTGGGAAACAAGGGCTTTTGCAGGAGGCCTGCCCAGTTAGTCAGCCCAGCCAGCCAGGCCCAGTCAGGCTCCTAATAGGCTGAAGAAGTTCAAACTGTTCTCTTCCTAACCCTGGGGAAGAACCTCAAAGGCTTCCCCAAACACTGAACTACTCCCATCAAACGACAGTTTAAATCACCTCAAAGGAGATCAATCCTCATCACATTTTTTCAGCCATGGGTACTAAGGTGCCAAGTAAGATAATATGTGGAAAAGTTAGCACCTCAAACAAAGTCTGAAAAACACTATACCAGTCAGTATGTTCCTGTTAATCAGGAAGCAACTCACCCCAAAAGTGTCCTCCTCTGGTTTGTGGGTCACAGTGATAGGAGGCGTAGGGCTTGCATCAGATTCTAGAAAATAAACACAAATAGAGGGCAGTTATCTTACTGGCTATGGGAGGCCCAGCTACAGGGCCTGCACAACTCCTAGACACCAGGGCAAAAGACATGGTCCTTATGTAACTACCTGTTTCATGCTATAGAGCAACAGAAAATGTCAAAGGAATGAACTCCACTCCCAGTCCAGAGAATACATGGTAACCCAACATGCACCATTAGCTATGGGGCAGGAATGAGGAAAAGAGCTTGGGATCCTGGCCAGGGTATGGATTAGGTAGATTTTACCAGTGATGGCAGCTGTCGCTGGCATTCTATTACCCCTTGTTTAGGGCATTTCTCTTCCTGTTCCTTCCTGTCCCATGCTTTCCTCTTTCTCTCTTTACTCCTCAGTAAAACCCAGGCTTATATCTTCATGAACAGCCAGCTACCCATTCCCCTAAGACGGATTTCAGAACACAATAGCAGTTCAAACTAAACAACAATCACTGGACCAGGAAACACTACCAAGTGTCATTCTCTACCTACAAGCACTTACTTGCAAGAAACAGCCCCAGTTCTGAATTCTCTGAAGGGACATCTGTGAGATTATGAGTATTTTAAGACCAAGAACAACTGAAAGAGCCACAGATGGCATTTACATCAGTGCCAAATGGCCAGGGTGTCCCTAAACAGGATTGCTCTACTATCTCTGGCCAGACATTAGGAGGAAATAGTAATACAGTGCTGCCACCATTCTCGTGTGGGGAAGAAAAGAAAGAGGAAGTAAAACCCCAACCCCTTTGAGGATTGTCTAGCCCCACCCCAACCTCTCTTATAAAGTGAGCCTCAATGATTCTACTTGAGGATGCATGAGCCTATGGGAAATCAATCACGATTCTAGCCAAGGTGGGTTCTGGCCAGATGCTTGCTCTCTTAAGGCAGGTGAGAAATGTTGAAAAGGTTATAGCCCCATATCTTCTCTGTAAGAACAACTGAGAAGATCAATAGGTGTCAACCTAGGCACAGGAAACCCCATATTCATCAGCTGCAGCCCCTTTTCATCTGGGTAGAGGAGACACATAACATGGTCATATCTTAGAAAACTCCCTGAGCAGGGCAAAGTAGGGATATAGCTCAATGGCAGAACACCTGCCTAACCCTGCATTTACCCCTTAATACCAGTATGAAATTAACAAAACTGCAATAAAAATATACAATGAAAAAAGAAAAAAAGAAAAAAGAAAACATAAAGAAAGAAAGAAAGAAAGAGAAAAAGAAAGAAAGAAAGAGAAAAAGAAAGAAAGAAAGAGAGAGAGAGGGAGGGAGGGAGGGAGGGAGGAAACCATGGTGTGGGGCAACTACTGAAAAGAAGTGGGCCCCGAATTTCTCAAGTAAAACAGCACTTCTACTCTTCTTCCTTTCCGTAGTTCACTCAGACACCCTCCGCTACCATGAAGCTAAGTATGCTACACAGAGCAGGCAAGGGGGCTGTCTGGATTTAACAATCACCAAACTACTAGGATAAAAGAGTTTCAAAGCAAAAGCCAAGCAAACTTACCAAAGTCAAAGAAGTCTGTGCTCTCTGTGGGAAAAAAAGGACAAGAGACAGTAAGTGTAATAATAATAAAAAAGTAGATCAGGCACAGTATAGTACATCATCTTAGTAGTTGTGACTTCTCCCGCTTGCTATAGTCCCTCATTCCCACAGCAAGGGACACACTGAAATTCTTGGTACATCACCCTCCCAACACACCACACTACTGCTCTTCCAGATGGAGGAGTGAGAGATAAAGCTCCTGGCTTCAAAGGACAAGGCCCACTGGGAACTAGAAACCAAGCGAGTTTCACTATGAGGCAGGGCATTAATCCCTGATCTACAGTCTTGTCCAGAACCTTCCTTCCTTCAGGACCAAGAGCACTGGGGATGGTACCACAGAGCAGGCCCAGGGGTGATCCGAAAATCAAACTCCTCCCCTCAGTATGTGCAGGCGATGCTAGAAGGCCACTGAGACATTTGGGGACTCTCCCCAAAGAATCATTTTAAGGTGACTGATACCATTCTCCAATGAAAGAAATGAGAATTTCTTAAAGAAATGGACTATTTCAGGGCTAGGGCTGAAAAAATATAAGATGTACTTGGGACAGCTTGGTACACTACAGAGCAAGATGTGCTTTCAAGATAATGAGTCCTGGCGAGGGAAGACAGGAGTTGACACACAGGTGAAATGTGGGATAATCTAAGCAACAAAATATCAGTCATAAAATTGTTATAAATGGAATCGTGTTGCCTCAAAATCCATTATATTGAGGTTTTAACCCCCAGTATTTCAGATGTCACTCTATTTACAGGTAGGGTCTTCAATAGGCATGGAAATGAAAATAAGGCCATTGGGCTGGCTTCATCCAATATTACTGGCGTCCTGATGAGGAAAGATTAGAACATAGATATGCTCAGAAGGAAGACCATGCAGACTCAGGAACAAGGCAGCATCCACAAGCCAAGGAGAACAGCCTCAGAAGGAGCCAAGCTAAAACATTCTCAGCCTCCAGGCCATGATAAAATGGATTTCACTGTTGAAGCTACCCGTCTACACCACTTTACTATGGCAAACCTAGCAAACAAATATATGAATTATAAACACATCCACATGTCCATTGTGATGCAAATATATAATTGAATAAATAAGCAGAGAAAGAAAGGAAAGCTCATCTTCATAGTAAAATCCCAACAAATAGGGGTTGGACAAATGGCTCAACAATTAAGAGCACTTCCTGCTTTTGCAGAAGACTCGGGTCCAATTCCCAGCTCCCACATAGTGGCTAACAACCATCTGTAGCTCTAGTTCCAGGGACCCAGTGCCCTCTTCTGACATCTGCGGGCACTGCATCACTCAGGTGCCCCTACCTACATGCAGGCGTTACACTCATACACATAAAAAAAATTAAAAATTAAGAAAAAAAATGATGTGAAAAGTTACTGATGTTGTTTCAAATCCTTGTTCCGTTTAATTACAAAGCATGAAATAAGTTACTTTGCAGCGTAGGAGTCTGGCAGACAGCATCTTGACTAAGTGATAAAGCTGACATCACTAGAGATAAAACATGTCAACAGTCTGCAATCCCCAAAAGGATGGACCACAAGGGTGGAGAATCACTTCCATGATGCTCTTGCCAAAAAACAAAAAACAAAAAAATAAACCACATAACTGGAATTTAACCATTAAAAATAAATCAGATGAAGGTTGGAGAGATTGCCCAGTGGTTAGAGAACAGGTTGTTCTTGCAGAGCACCCAGGTTTAGGTCCCACCACTTAAATGGTGGCTAACAATCATCCATAACTCCAGTTCCAGGGAATCTGACACCCTCTTCTGGCCTCCATGGACATTTCATGTATGTGGTACACCTACATACATGTGGGCAAAACATTCATACACATAAAATAAAAATAAATTTTAAAGGAAGAAATAAATCAGATTAATCCTAATCTGCAAAATAACTAGAGACTATTCTTCAAGTGTCAAAATCATTAAAGAACTGTCCCCGATTTAAAGAGATTGGAGTTATGTGTCAACTAAATACAATGTCTAATCCTAGGTAGGCTCCTCGACAACAAAGGACACAGGGGGGATCAGTGCTCAAACATCAATCAAGTCTATAAATTAGATAATATTGTTAGACTGGTATCCATGTCCTGGTTTCGATGATGTCCTGGACTTATAGTTAAGTGAGATGTTGACATCCGAGGAGGCTGGGTAAAGGGTAGAAGAAAGTTCTTTGTAGTGTTTTGTAATATTTTTTGTAAAGTCCAAATGATCTCAAAATGAAGAAAAGTTTTTAAAAGTTTAAAAACAGACAAAGGCTAGTACTTTCCACCCCACATTTTCTGATTCAGAAGGTCTGCCTGCGTCTCAACAATACTGTACATGTGTGTGCATGTGGTGTGTGTGTGTGTGTGTGTGTGTGTGTGTGTGTGTGTGTGTTTTGTAGATAGAATCCATGGTCTCCCACATGCTAGGCAAGCACTCTAACCTCTCACTGGTACCTTCTAAGGAAGCCCTGAGCCACACCTCCAGGCATGAAATTTTGCATCCCTAAGTTGATGCCAATGTCGCTAGTCCCTTTGGGAAAACTACACCATGACACTGCCTATTGCAACAAGTCTGCTGTACCCTAAAACACAAGAACAAATTGTTCACTCTTCTCCTCGTTCACTGTGATTTTCCATGTACCAAACCCTTGGCTAAGCCCTCTCAGACAGTGTAGTCACAGGTATATTAAGTGTGAACTAGCATACATTCTTCTCTGCCTGTGGAGAATAGGATGCTTTCTGTGGAGTCCTTCAGAAAAGGCCCATTTACAGTAAATGCGCTGTTGTTAGGCTGCTGTTTTGTTTCCTATTCTGTGTAACCATGGGGGAAAGCTGACTTGGGGGATAATGAAAGAGATGAGGGATTTAATCTCAGCTTCAGAGCCTGAGAAGAGCGAGAAACCAGAGCTATCAACAAAATCCATTTATTTTGTATTTCTCATCAGGTTCCCATTTATTAGAGAATATTCTCCCAGCAGCCAAATACTTTGGCCAAGCCTGTGAACTCTAATCTCAAAGTAGCCTATGACTGGGAAAATCCTTTGCTGAAGTCAGGCACCATATCCAGGAAGGAGAAGAGCTCTGGAAGAGGGAGACATGTTAGCTGCTCTCTAACCTTGGCAGGAACTTAGACATTAACACTAGAATGGATGATACTGGGAATGGTCCTCCCCAGACCTCAAGCACAGGCTAGGAAAAGGACAGGACCAGCAGGAACTGTGTGAACTGTGCTGGACAGTGAATGGATGCATATGCTTTCTACAGTCCGGGATGGTAACTCCTCAAGAAGGTCCCTTCTTATGGACTAATATTTACCACAGTGTGTGTGTGTGTGTGTGTGTGTGTGTGTGTGTGTGTGTGTGTGCGTGTGTGTTACATACAGCCATGCATGCGCATGTAGAGGCCAGAGAAGGATGTCAGGTGTCTTTCTCTATCTCTCCCTCTTATTATCTTGAAACATGATCTCTCGAGGAACAGGAAGCTTGCCATTTCAGCTAGGCTGACTGGCCAGCTAGCTCTCTCTTCTGCCCGATGCTGGGGTTACAGGCATGTACAGTTGTACCCAGCTTTTTACATGGGTGCTAGGAATAGGAACTCAGGTGCTCATGTTTTCAGAGCAAGTATTGTTACCCCCTGAGCCATCTCCCACACCCCTCATCACAGCCACTGAGGAAAAAAGCAAGCTAAGTAATTTGTCCTAGGTCACACAGTTGACAACTGCATGAAAACATCAACTCTGGTCTTGTGGCTCCGTGACTACCTTAGCCTGCCTTAAAAATACCCATAAGAATTTCCCAACAGGGTCAGAGACTATCTCCTGATCTAGAACTCCTATATTCTCATCTGTGCATCCCTGAAATCTTAACAAAAGCCGGTAGCAATTAAGCCTTTTATTTGCTGAGTGCTAGGCAAATAGGACTTCATTTAATCTTTATGGCAACCTAGGCAGGAGCCAGTATAATCATTCCCATCTCACAGCTGGAAAAACAGAGGCATCAAGTGATAATCACCTTTCACTGAGCGTTGTTCATGTACTAAGCCCCTTCTAGGAGCCTGGGCCACCTGTCTGGGAGGACCATGGATGGGACTTATACCTAAGTCTGTCTTATTTCAGAGTTCTGGCTTTTAATAATAGAGTTCTTCCTCACTTGGGAGTGAGAAAGGCATATACATGATAAATATGATGTCTCCATACCCTTAGGCCAAAAGGAGAAGAGCAACATGGGCTGCCTTTGTATCCAGTGCCCAGGCAGTACAAGGTTGAGCTTAGAGAGTTGTGGCATATCCCTGACTGCTTCCCCAGATGACTTACTCTTCTGAACACCGAGACATCTCGTCACTAACTAGACAAGGCTAGCACATATTTTGCTTGTCACTGCCTTTTATCATCCATTAATTCCTTTAATGCAAATAGAAACACTGCTCAGGACATCTCACTCTATTCATTGTCTACACAACGGTGTCCTGGCCGGGATGTGGACAGGTCTGAGGAAGGGTTCTCAGTGTACTGCATTCTTTTCCACCTTCTCTGGGACTTTACCCTCCCTCCCTCCTCCTGGAGCTGAATTGTCACCAAATGACAGTGGTAGCTGACTACAAAGGAAGGAGTATAAAAGTCACCTGGGGGCTTAAAAATGCCCATCCTAAAATCTCTGATTCAGGAGAGATGTCACCCAGACTGTTCCCAACACAAATCACAAAAGTCAGCAAAAAAACACAGCTTCGTGGACAGAAATATAACACCCGGGGACCCTATCAAGAAATTCTGCCAACCAGTTACTTTAACCAAACCCAGAATTGGGCTTTTCCTCTTCCCCAGCTTCAGAAGGTATTTGGACAGACCCCAAAAAAGCAGAATCACCTACCTATATTCAAAGTTATTCCATTAATTCAATTATTAGCCCCAGCCTGCGTACTTCAGCACCATCAGAGGCTGAATGCATCATCTACTTTATAATTAAGTTACCATAAAACAAAAGTAGAAAGGAGCCCATCCCCGCCACTCCATTCCTGGAGGCCAGTTCCAAATCAAACCTTGCTGCTAGTCAGCATGAAAACACTTGAGACCATGATCTGTTAAGCATGGGACTGATCTGGACTGACTCTGAAGTCACTGCAATGGAGAGTCTCCAAACCATAATCAAATACCAAACCCTGTGATACGTGCTTAATCCTGTATGTTAACTCATTCAGAAGCCACAAGACTCAAGACAGCAACGCACCCACACCCACTTCACAGCTGAGGAAACTGAAGGTTAGCAAAAACATACTGTCAAGTTTTTCTGGTGAGCAATGAGCTGGATCAAGATTCTTCACAGTTATCGTCCACTTCTAAAGCTCCTGCTTTGACTATTGTAACACAAGATATCTTTATATGCACAGTGGCTATTTCTAAGGGGTCCTGAAGGTTCCTGTGATAGCCATGGAAAATAGGGACTATCTTGCTTTGCACAAGGAGCAGACGGAGGCTGCCTCTGTCCTGGTGTGAGCTCAATTACCCGGGTAACTGTGATCATCAATGCTGCTTGCTTTCTCAAGATGCCACCTGCCCTCTTGTTCCCAGAGGAAATGTGTGCACGCCTCACCTGGAAAGGGCTCCTTAAGGAAGTGGCCATTGATGGTCTGGTTGGCTGTGCCCAGGGCATTCTTGGCAATGAGAGTGTAGTTGCCATTATTGTAGTGGGTGGGCTTGTTGAAGAGTAGACATCCCTCAGAGACCTCACCCTCCTGATAGTAGTCCATGTGGATGATCTTAGACTCTCTCAACGGCTGCCCATTGTACAGCCAGTGCAGTGTGGGAGTCGGGTTGCCACGCACCACAAACTCGATGCAGTGTTCCAGGCGCACCTCAGGTTCCACCAGGCTCACCACTCGTGGGGGATCTGTGGGGGGAAAATAAGCTGATACCAAAGGCACAGAGACTCCTGGGTAATGTTTTAGGAAGTGGGATGGGGATTCCACTCTTCCCCATTCTGCTCTGAAAAGGCTGAAGGAAGTTAAATCTCACCACCAGTCAAGAAAGGGGAAGAGATGTCTGTCTTTATCCAAGATGTCTGTCTTTATCTGGATCTATCTTAATCAGAGGTTCCCTCCTGAGACCTTTCAGGGGCTTCCAAAAGCAGAATGGGCCAAATTAAGAGTCTTAAAAATGGGGTTGAATTAAGTATACCATCTTCGAAGGGGCAAGGACATTCTTGAGTTTACTGCCCAAAGACTGATTTCTCAGTCTGGTTCTATGACAGCTTTTCTTTCCTTGTAGGTAGACTGGGGTCAAGGGTCTAGATGATCCTAGCAATGCCCCTGCCCCATTCCCAGCCTCCTGTGTCAGCCTCCTCCTGGTTCCCTGCTGCCCTCCATGATGACATGCACTTACAGTAAACAGTGAGAGCAACGCTGGCATTGCTCATGCCCACCACGTTCTCTGCAATGCACGTCAGGGTGAAACCATTGTCCTCGCTCGTCACATTCACCAGGGTCAAGTTGATAGCATGTACATTGGTCCAATTCAGATTGGTCTGAAAACCCCAATCAGAAGACAATAACCAAACCATTTCTACAAGACTGGCTCCCCTTTCCAACCCCCAAACGTCTTCAGGAATCAAGATAATGTTAAAGGAGGTCTTTCTAATGAAAACACACTGATCACATCCAGACTCTGTGTAGTAAATAGCTCAGACAGTTCTCACGTTAATACTAGGTGGTGAATAGTAACATTGTACCCATTTTACAAATGAGGAAACTAAGGCACAGAGAGATTAAATAGCATAAATAATATAGAAATATAAAGAAAATATTAAAGCTAGATAGAATCCAAGCCTACAGTTTTCATCTTAGCAGGAATTTCCTTTTTTAGGACTGAGGGAAAATCATTCCTTAACTCTATGTCCTAGAGGGCCTGGTCCTAGGATGCCTACCTGGTGGGTGTTGATAGACTGTAGCCCAGTGACTATCCAGTCAACATCAGGCAGTGGGGAACCAGAGCCATTGCACGTGATTACAGCATTGTCCCCCTCTCGGACAGTCAGGTTGACATGGCTCACACTGATCTCAGGAAGATCTGGGAGTGTGGAGAGGAAATAAGGGTTACAAAGACATGTAACATTTCCCAGAGGAGTTCTATCCCAGGGGTGATGGTGATACTTTTTGTGTGGCCCAGTGACAACTCCAACACAACTTGGCTTGTGCTCCTGGAAGACCCCTGTGATGGTTAATATTGTCAATTTGACAAGCTCTAGAATCACCTAGGAAACAAACATCTGAACATGTCTGAGGGAATATCTAGACTGGGTTAAGTGAGGTGGGAAGACCCGCCCTAACTAAGCAGCACCATTCTACGGACTGGGGTCCTGAACTAAATAACAAGGAGAATGTGTGTTGAGCATCAAAATTCATCTCTTCCTGACTATAGATGGCAATGTGACCAGCTGCCTCAAGTTCATGCTCCCACAACGCCCCCACCGTGATGAACTATACTCTCAAACTGTGAGCCAAAGTAAAGTCTTCCTTAAGTTGCTCTTGTCAGGTGTTTTGTCACAGCAAAAGTGATGAATACAATCCTTGCACTCCAGATTCTTCATACTGCTTCCCCAGTAGACTCAGAACGCAAAATCAAAACCCATACCATTGGAGGCTCCTGCACAGCAGGGTATCTGTGACAGATTTGCTCACGGAATATCTTTCTGGCAACTACTGTCTTTCTGGGATACTAGGTTTCACAAAATTGTTGTATGTCAGATTCCCATGGAAACCTGCTAGAGATCCCATTCTTTAATATCCAGTTGGTCCTAGGAATCTGACATCCTAGAAAGTGCCTTGGAATCTCATGACGCAGAAAGTCCAAAGGCTGCCCTGTAAGACACACTCCTTCAGGTTTGGTTGACAAGTAACTCAAGGAGAAAGGGAATCTAATCTACTGAGAATGACTCATGACTCCTATCTGAATTTCTGGGACCAGCTTTCCCACAGCTGACTGGAGACAGGAATGGCCAAAGAGGGAAAAGGTCTGTGCCCACTGCAGATATCTAGGCTTGGAGCAGTTGGGAAAGAGAGTCTGACAGGCCAGCCTAAGACCCAGACCCTTCTCTGGGATGTATAGGATTCTGGCCAGAGCAGGTGGTGCTAAGGCTCACTCACCACACTGACTGATGTTCATGCGGAAGAGGGGGAGCTGGGAGCCATCAGCACTGATGCAGTAGAGGCTTTGGCTGTTCAGCCTGGCCTCCCCCTGCTCCTGCCACAGCTGCATCCAGCGGATGTCACAGCTGCAGTTGAAGAAGTTCTGCTCCAGTCTCCTGTGGGCAAGAAGAGAGGGGAAGGAATCCCTGAACGGTGGATGGCCCAGCTCCCTCCCAGGGAACAGGCCGATGGGCCTCCGCTGCTTCTCCATGAAATAAGCCAGATTCACAAAGATAAGTACCGTGTTTCCTCTCGTTCATGGATCCTAGACTTCATATAGATACATAAAACCATGCATACATGTGCTTATATATGTATGAGGTAGGGGAGAAAGAGGAGGAAAGGGAAGGGAGAGAAGGATGGAGGGGGACTAGCCCAGGTAAGTTGGGAGAAAGAGAAGGCCATGTGGGGTTGATTATGGTCAATTATATGATATATTTGAAAGAAAATGTCTTTTTTAAATATTTTATTTTTATTTTTATGTATATGAGTGTATTGCCTGCATGTATGTGAGTACATCCATGTCGTGCAATGCCGTGGAGGTCAGAAGAGGGCTTCAGATTTCCCTAGAACTGGAGTTAAGGACAGTTTGTAGCCTCCTTGTGGGTGCTGGGAATTGAACCCGGGTCCTCTGAAAGAGCAATCAGTGCTCTTAACCACTGAGCCATCTCTCCAGCCCCAGAGCTCAGGAGGTAGAGACAGAGGATCCCTGGCTAGGTAGACAAGCTAGAATCAGTGAGCCCAGGGCTCAGGTGAGAGACTACGTTTCAATGAATAGCTGAAACATAACTGAGAAAGACACCCAACAGCAACTTCTGGTCTTCACGTGCACAAATGAAGCACATGAAGTGTGTACCTGGACATGTGCAAACACACAGCACACATTCATACACACCACATACACATACACACACAAAGAAAATAATAATATTAATAACAATAAAGGAGAGAAGGGGTTAGGTGAGACCACAAAAGAAGTAATAAAAAATAAATTACACTAGGCCCACAATTTTACTTAGTTTTAAAACTAAGACCTTCATTCAAAAATAAATTCCTCTAAACTCACTGGGCAAAGAGACCCTTTTAAATCTATGAAGCTGAGATGTTATCATCTCAAAACTATCCCATGGCTTCCCATCTCATTAGAAGTCAAAGTCATACTCAACTTATGCTTCTCCATCATCCTCATGACATCATGTTGTGCTTCACCCTTGTTGAAGCCCTATGAAACATGTGCTTCGCTGTCACCTGATGTCACCTGCCTAACTCTCATCAAAGCTACACTCATGTGCTCGCTTTGGCAGCACATATACAGAAATTGGAACAATGCAGAGATTAGCATGGTCCCTGAGCAAGGATGACATGCAAATTTGTGAAGTGTTTCATATTGGGAGGGGGGCAGTGTTGGAGGTATGGTTCCGCAGTTAAGAGTACTGACTGCTCTTGCAGAGACACAGGTTTAGTTCCCAACACCCACATGGACGCTTACTATTCATAACTCAAGTTTCAGGGGATCTGATGCCCTCTTCTGGCCTCTGCAGGCATTTCATACATATGGTACATTTACATACATGCAGGCAAAACACTTATACACATAAAATAAAAATTAGTAAATCCTCACAAAAAGCTATGCTCAGCCTGCACATCTCTATGATGTCCTCCAGTGTTTCACCCTCCTGCTCCTCTCCAGTCACACTGACCTCACTGTGTGCAAGCTCACTATTGTGACTAGTTCAGCCCTGCCTTAGGACTGTTGCAATTGGTGTCTTGCTTGCCAAGCTGTCTCCCAACATATCTGCAAGCCTGGCTTCCTTGCTTCATTAAGAAATCATAAAGTTTCTGACCACCATCCATACCAAAACCACTGCCAACCTCACCCTAAGAATGTCCAATCCCTCACCAGCTACATTCCCCTGTCTAGAATTTACTGCCAGCACATATCACTTTAATTATTCATTTTACTTTGTTTCTTTGACTATCTTCCCAAATAAAAATCAAGCCTCCACTGAGGCCAGAGACATGACCTATTTTGTTCATAGCTATATGCATAGTACTTAACACTGAGCTTTGCACATATTTTTCTTGGGGGAATAAGTGGTTAGCTATTTCCAAGATATACTCAAAAACCTGTCTTTGAATCAGCTTTGTTCCTTCATGAATTCAACAACTCCTTAATGAGCACCTGTACTGTGATTGAAAGCTGTTAATAGAGAGATGAATAGGGCAGTCTCCATCCTCTGGGGGTATTCACCCCAGTAAAAAAGAATGGCTGATGGGGAAGTCTAGTTCAAATCCCTTGTTCTCCACAAATTCTCCTTGTGACCTAGAGCAAGTCACATCCTCCTCCACGGAGTTATTAGGAGAGTGGCAAACAGCACTAATCAATTCAAGAGCACAGGGTGACTCTGAATGCCTGGGCCATTAGGGGAACATGACTCTCACTCTTGTCTATAGAAGGGATCGATCTGTTGGCACCCAGAGGAAAGGCACTTGGGTCACTGCATATTTTGGGAGCACTGGATATTTTTGATAGCTGGCAAATTCCAAAATAGTTAAGCATGTATCAGCATTTATCAACTTCCAGGAATAGGGGAGGTCCTAATGGAGAGAAATTGTGTTTTGGAGTACTAGGACACCTCAGGTAGAATATCCAAATAACCCTACAGACTATCACCTTTTTAGCCTAAGAGTACCCATGATGTTTCCCTGTTCATGGAGCTCTTTCAGAAAAAGGGAAGGGAAGAAACCCAGTCTTTGCTGAGCATCTACTTCTCACAACCATTTTACAAGGTGGCTAGTATGCTCCCCACAGAAATGAGGAAGGCCACCTAATGTCTGAGGAGTGTGATAGCTAATCTTCATGGTCATCTGGAAGACTGGATTTGCAACACCACAGAAACACACCTCTGAATGTATAAGGATGTAACTGATGAGGGAAGATCCACCCTGAATCTGAGTGGGGCCATCCCATGACTAGGGTTCTGAACCGAATAAAAAAGAGAACGCAAGCAGAGCATCAGCATTCATCTCTGCAATGTGAGCATTTGCCTTGTGCTACTGCCATCATAACTCTCTTGCCATGATGGAATGTACCTTTAAACCACAATGAGCCAAATAAACGCCTCCTTCTTTAGTTGTTTTTGTCTGTTCTTTGATCATAGTAATGAGAAAAATAACTAATACAGGGAGTTAAGATACATATTCAGGCCCCTCACACAAGCCTCTGTCTGCATTTCCAACTGCATCTTCACTAGGCGAACACTGTAGAGCCCCATGGGAGATACAAAGAGGCCCCCTGACTTCCAGGACTCTTGGCAGGCAGACTGGGGGAAGAGGTACAGGGAAGTGGTGAAGGCAATGGGAATGTTATATGCTGAGTGTGAACAGGAAGGGAAGATTTAGTAAAGGCACAGAGGTCATGTCAAGAAGGACTGCAAGCAGAGGTAGAAGTTAGTGGTGGAGGGCTTTCACTGGCACATGGCTTGGAATTCATCCATGAGGCAGTGAGAAACCACAAAGGCTCTGAGAAACCACTGAGAGCTGGTACTTGGGCCACCAGTTCGATGTCTTGCAACCACAGGTAGACAGCTACACAACACCATTGTGTGGTTCGTGCATTTCTCCAAGAAGTCATCCAAAGCAATGATGAAATCCAGACCCAGTGCCCTGGCATGGAGCCACATCCGCCCAGAGGGCCATTTTCTCCTACTCACACATAGGCACCAAAAAGGCCGCTAGGGCCTGGCCATGTTCTCAAACTTGTGGTCTCGTAACTCCTGTTCACATTTAACTTTTCCTGGGGGCCTCAGGTAGGTCTTATGTATATGGGTTATAGTTCTCATTATTTACCATATTACGAATTAAAACTGAAGAAAATGTAAAGCACTAAAATACATCAGCACAAATTCTATTAGTCACTAGGGCAATCATGTTTCTGTGCACATAGTCTCTGGGGAACTTCACCCCCATGAGAGGATGATTCTAAAGGACACATGTCTCTGGCTGTTATGAAAACAGGCTTAACCTCACATTTTACCTTCACCTCAAAAGGACTTGGGGCGCCTCCCTCACCCCAGGTCTCCATGGCCCACCATTAAGGGCCTAGTGTAGAATAGCAAAAATTAGAGCAAAGGACAAAAAAAATCCAGCAAATACCATAAAGGTAACAAGGCCATATTTGGTATGTTGATAGAGTCAAAGGAAAGAGAGGAAGAGGGAGAAAAAGAAGTGAAGAAGAAAATGTGTTGTGGGGATGGACTGTTAAGCTCCAGGGATAGGAAATCACCATGGGAGAAATGTTGGATCGAAAGCAGAGGAGAAGGGATGAGGACAGGGAGAACTGAACCACACCAGGAATGAAGACAGAATCAGAAAGGGAGTGGTCAAGTCCTGGGGGAGGAAAGGGAAGGGTAGATCAGGAAGCCTTAGAAAGGTGGTGTGGCAGTGGTTCAGCTAGTAAAGTACTTGCTATGCAAGCATGAGAACCCAAGTTCCATCCCCCAGAACCCATATGAAAAAGTCAGGTGCATTGGCACTGGCTTGTAATCCCAGTGCTGGAAAATAAGAGGCAGGGATCCCTGGAGCTAGCAGGTCAGCCAGCCTACCCTAATTGGTGAGTTCCAGGCCAATGAGAGACCCTGGCTCACAAAAGAAGGTGGACAGCACCTGAGGAACACTTGGTAACTATACACATGTGCACCTGCACACACACATACACACATATGTACACACACACGTGTGTGCACACACACACACGAGTAAAGTAGGATGGTATTTGTAACACCCTTGCCATAGTGCTCTACACACGTGACTTGACGTGTGACTTAATGTAACCTTCACAAGGAAGCTGTTCAAGGAAGGAAGGGGACATCTAATGGCATCCTTAGCAAAACAGAAAGTCTAAGTTAAATGCCTAATCTATGTAGAAAAAGAAATATTTAGGAGAGGAATGGTTTTGGGCTCCCCTTGTGGAGACCAGAGGAGAGTCCTGGCAACCTTGTTGACTGATATTGAGGATCCAGATGCTTCAAGATGAGCAAACTGAGCCAGGTCAGCCCAGATTTCACCAGCCTCTGGGCTGACAAGATGCAGCCATTCATTATTAAGTAGGTGAAAAATACAAATTATCCACCTGCATTGAAAAGACTAGACAAGTGAGGTGCTTGGCAGGATTGCCTCAAGCTACACAAAACAAGATACAGTCCAACCTCTTGCTGGATCCCATTTGTGGCACATCCCAGTGTCTCAGTGGCTCAAAAGGAAGACAGTGCCAAAGTGTCCTGAGGCTGTCAGGAGAGTCAACTGCACTGTCTGGGATGTGGCACAGATGCTGCCAGGCACTGGCTCAGTACAGCTCACTTCTTTCCATGCTTTCCCTCCAAGGCCCTGCTTACAAGGCCTGATCTAGTGGAAGGGCTGCACCTGAAGAGCTGATCCTTTGCTGCTCTCCAGAGTCTGCTGGAAACAGCAGCATAACTATTGAAGAGGGGCTGGGCTTTCTTCTTAGAGAGCACACACCTAGCAGAATGCACTTCAAGTCCTAAACAGTGGCGTCCTGGGTGTCCTAGGGATCCAATTCACAATTGCCTTCATGTCCTGACAAGAGAAAGCTGATACGAATCAGGGACACCCGAGTCCTAGCTCTAAGTGATACTGGGCATTCTGGTACCCTTATGTACAACCAGAACTAGCAGAGGAGGTTCAACCACAGCTGCAGGGACAGAACTAAGAGCCCTGCTCTGTGCTCTATCAATAATGCAAGAGACCCCATGAATAATGCAGCAGTAACCGCTTCAGAGCACAGTTCACTAGCGCCCAGCCCTGGCCCCAAGATGGCCCAGGGCCTAATCACAGGGCCCTGAGGGCTTCCTACAGATTAATTCAGCCCCATTCAGGCATTGGCTGATGCGCGCATGCACACACACACACACACACACACACACACACACACACACACACACACAAAACCACTTTGCAGCTGCAGCAGCCAAGGCTGTGACTCAGTGTACAGAAAACATTGATTCCCCTCCAGTCATTACTCAGGTGATTCCTTCTCCCCTTCACACCATAAGTACTGCCAGGAGCAATCCTGGAACCAGGCTGTGGAAAACAGGGAGACCACATCAGCAAGGGCAAAGCTACTGGCAACAGACAAAGGATATAGCCTAGACCTCCTCAAGATAAAAAGATGATAGAAAATGTGCATAAATAAAAGATGCAATTTAAGCTTTGTTGAGCATAAGGGACTGAATTGTGCCCCCCCAAAATATGTATCCAAATGTTAACCCCAGGTCCTACGAACATGTCCTCATGATCAAGTTAAGGATAAAGGGATGAGATCATTCTGGATTTGGGGTGGACCCACTCCAAGGACTGGTGTCTTAGAAGGATTG